TTCATTCATTGAAACCTATGCCATCTGAATTTCCGAAGCTATATGCATTACCAAAGATTCTTATCTTTCATGTGTCGTTCCCGCACACCAAAACTGGTCAAAATGTTTCGTCCAGTTTGGAACAAACTCTGTAAGTTTTCTGCTGAAAGAGACTTTTCAACTTGTTGACTGTCTCAGTAACGCAAACGTCAAAAACAAGACCATGTACTCTTTCAACGTAAACTCTTCATTCACTAGAGTGTTGCTGTCAAAGACTATCGACATTCTCTGTGACTACATATCTTCTGCAAACCATCTATTCCTTACTACTGCGACTTTTCTGAGGGAACCAACAAAGCTGCTTTCACATTTGAAAGTGAACGCTTTCGACAAGTTGACGATGTATCTGCCGGGGATCACTTGAGACCATTAGTGGCTGATATCTGTATGCCACATATTGACTATCCAACTGTCGATTTCATCGCTAAAGTTCCTCTTTACAAGAGGTGTGTCGATGACTTCACAGTGATTTGTGACAAGCATGAGGATTTGCTTTGTCTACTAAAAATATTTAACACCGTGTAACCACAAATCAGTCTGGCTCGTGAGAAAGAGAATAATAATCTGCCATTCGTGGACGTACTCTTGAGTCGACAAGCTGGTGGTACAATAAGATGATCAGTCTACAGAAAGCCTACATGGGCAAGACAGTATCTCAATTTTCACAGCTTTGTCTTATCCAACACAAGCGAGGTGTAATAAAATGGCTGTTTTATGGGATCTACCATATCTGTACATCAGATACGATGGATGATGATATCAAGTTGCTGACCAAAACACTCATGGAGAACGGATATCCATTGAAGTTTAAAAGCCAATACAGAAGTCAGGTAGTGCCAAAGACAGCTCTTTACACCGTACCCAAACGAAGTGTCCACATCATTTTACTGTGTAGAGGGGAGACGAATGGCATAAATTTGAGATGTAGGCTGACAGAAGCCATTAGGAAAATATTATGCAGCTATACTTATGATTTCAAGGCATCCTGACTGACAATGGATAGGATGGTTTGGAAAACCGTGGGTACTGATTAATTGTGATTAACTGTATAAGGTGTAGCTGCTGCACAAGGGGTGGCCGTCGTGTCCCAATGGTTCAGTGGATAACCCTCTAGCGTATGAAGCGAAGAGCGCTGGTCTGAAGCCTCAGTGGGAACATCATCACTCACTGGGGTGCAGACACATCCAGCTGACGAGTCACAAATAGGATGGAATGCGTGTCCTGTATTACTATGCAAGTCAGCGAGATCAATATCAAGTATGTTCAGTTTATGTTATCCCGTCAAATCAAGCATAAACAAATGACAAAATAAGTAAATATTTCATACTATTCCTCAAAGTTTCCATCCTGTTAGGAGGATCCTTTCCAAGATTATCAATCTGACATTAGGTTTTCAGGTTAATAATAAAGTTTGGTAGAGAAGGTAGCCTTCATGCTCATCCAACTGCATCGTGATACGGAACGAAGAACATTATAATGTAGGTGAATGAACAATGGAATCGGTCAGAGAGGCTTTCGCGAGCTGTGCAAATAAAGTGGAACGAAATTAGGGTGGTGAAAAGCACAAAGGAGTTGTTAGGCACTTGGGTGATGTTTTAAAAATTACGTTCAAACTGGTGCAACTATCGCATTTTCAACATCCTCTGTATAATTCCTAACTTTACTACCGAATCTCTGACATTTAAATTCCTTTTAAAATCGCATCATTTACCTGTCACGAGAACCTTTTTGCTAGAAGGAACACCTGTAAGCGAAATGATGATTGAAGCCCGTTGGAATGGTATGAAAATCCTCGATGACGGCATAAAATTACCTGTTCCGTAAACTTACCTGATGTATTACTTGACTTCCTGAAACAAAGGTAGGATTATTGTATGGAACATGCTGTGATATTTGTATACACAGAAACAACATCAAGTTTGATTATCATTAAATCTGATGAATATAGCTACCATTTGTTCTTGAATACATAGTGGAACATAGGGCTTCAGTAGCACATCGCCATTGCACTCTCTTCTCTCCAGTCTTTTCAACCTGGCTCCAGTACTGTCCAGAAACCTTCATTTCTTCCTCACACCATCTCCCCCATGTCACCCTCGGACGCTGAACTCGTCGTTTCTCATTTGGCTTCCACTTGAAGGCCAGGACAGGCCTGGCGCGTGATGACTCCTATCGGTATTCTCAGTCAGTGTCCAATCAGATCCATCTCCACTTTCTTCTGCATATTTCTGGGGTAATGGGTTCTTGGTTGGTTCGTTGCCAGCCAGCCAGCCAGAATGAGTTCCTTATTGCTTACTCTTTCTGGCCTCCTGATCTGAGCTTCAGTATCGAGCGTGGCCAGTTGTTGATGAATGTCTGTAGTTTGTTGGAAACGCTTTCGTAACGCGTCAAGTCTCTCAACCATCACATAGAAACACTGACTTGACATTAGTATTAGTGTTGGAAATCCATATCTTGTTCAAGCTTTATGCTGAGTGAAGTGCAGTAGATCTTTACACTGATTTAAGGTCAATGAATGCCTGTCTTGCCGTCTTTCCGATCCTGGCTTTGACATTCTCATCTGTGCCTCCACCTGTAGTTGAAAGGATGCTGCTCTGCCTAGGTAGGTGAATGAGACAACATGCTTTAGATTTCTATCGTTCATGGTGATTGGTGTTTCTTGCTGTTGATGTGATTTGGTGGGTATCTTCATCACCTCTGTCTTCTCTACGTTCACCTGAAGGAAGTCCCATCATCTCTTCCCCACCAGATAGTAACCAGGTTATTTGATATAATGTTGTCAGGACTCCGTCTCTCCTACCTGCAGCCTGTTCTGCTTCACTTGCCAATGTGTCGTAGAAGTGTCTTTTTACTTTCCACACACTCTTCTTCACTCCTTTCTACAGTGTAGTGTTTTATATGTTGTACTGAGTTCCTCTTTTCTTTGTTCATCCCTGCTCTGCACTGCACTGCACTGTACTGCACTGCACTGCTCTGTACTGCACTGCACTGTACTGCACTGCACTGCACTGCACTGCACTGCACTGCACTGCACTGCACTGTACTGCAGTGCACTGCAGTGCACTGGTTCATCTTCTACTTCACCATCATCATCTTCCTCTCCCCGCTCTATCAGCTTCCATATGTCCCTCGAGATCCATTCCTTGTCTCGTCTCGTCTTGCTTCTTCTTCCTTCCTAACACGGTTATGCAGGTCTCCTTCCACATCTCTTTCAAACAGTTCCAGTGTTCTTTCACGTCCGATCCTTCAGGGATGTTGCTCAATGTCTCCCACTCTGTCCTGATGACTGACTCATGTGAAGTAGTTTCATCCTCTGTACTTTCGTCCTTCAGTTCACTTTCTCTTCTGAGTGTTCAACTTCAACTGTGGTCTATCATCACCAGCTTCTCTCAAGGCTTTCAACTTGATTTTGCAGGTAGCTTCCTTGCACTGGATGGTGAGTGGGCTGAACCCACATCTGCTCTCCTTCTTCATCTGATCTTGTGTCCAGTAGGCTGACTAAGTCTCCTCTTTCTTCACATTGAGATGAAGTCGATGTGATGTTTGGTGTAGTGTGTCCATCTGGTGAATGGTGAAATCAAATGCATGTCGCTGCCTTGTGAATATCCCCGTGTTTGTACACACTACCTCCAATCACCAAATCGTTGAATGTGCATAGGTCTACAAATAGTTCTCCATCTTCGTTCATCATTTCATTGAGTGCTTCTCGACTCATGATCGGTTCTCTTCCTGTGTTGTGGCTCCAGTTTCGCATTCATGTCACCCCACCCATTAGAATGGATTTCGATGTCACCAACTGTGTTGGGGTATTTTCCAGTACACATTAGTTTCATATTGGATTTGTTTATTTGATTTATAACACCCAGTGATCTGGTATTATTTGCTTGATGACGTTTAGAGCATAAATTATTACTGCTCATAATCATATGAATGTAATCACACCACTTTCGACATTTGAATTTTATAGTTATTTCACCTCATATGAGTTGTTTGTATTGGTAGCAAATTCTACCACAGTGCCCAACTTTTACGCCTTATTAATTGGTAACATTAGGACAGTATTTCATGACTACATTGGTGTGCTGTCCACCATCGATAATCAGTGGAGTGAATGCAGATTCGTATCCCGCCAATTTATGCTGGATTGAAGGCACACTGCCTATGAATCTTACATCTGGAATTGTACCTCATAAACTACAAGACTGGAATTACTGTCAATGGGTTCCAGTAGTACTTGGCTCACAGGCTATCCTGCATTATTTACCAGGCATAATTTGGAGTATATTCACATTCAATCGCACTGGAACTGATTTAAAAAATGTAATGCGTCAAGCCAACCCAGTTACAAAGAAAGATGGTGAAAAAAGACAAAAAAGGTTGAACATATTGCTAAAACACTGGAATTATTATTGTTTGGTCGTCGTGAATACCTTAGTGGTGACAGTTTAGGTGCTTCCATTTTACGTTCAATGGCTTTTACGCCAGGTAAACATCATAGGAACAACTTAGTCTACGCATATTTGGTAGTCAAGGTCTTATACTCCGTCGTTGGACTTTGTCGGTAGCAAATGATGTACATTTTCTTACGTTTTGACTCACGTCAAGGCTACTGGTTATTTGGACTGTGTGTTCTCCCTGATATTAAACATGGAAAGCGATGGTCGGAGACACAAGTATTCCCTCGACTTGGAATGTGTAGGCATACGTTTCAATATGTTGGAGCTAGTAATATACTTTTCGCCCAATGAATCCTTTTAATCAACATTTTGAATGAAAATATTTACATATTCTTATTCTTCTTTCTTGGTTCAGCCATGCTATTGACTATGCTAAGTATACCACTTTGGTTGCATCGTATGGGACTGAAAAAGCGTCAGTGACACTTTGTATGAAGATTCTTAAAAATTGCCGATTTCTATGACCGTGATGATGCAGAAATATCTATTCCTATAGATCGATTTATGGCTGAATTTGTGAGACAAGATGGACATTTTATACTACGTATGCTGTCTATGAACGCTGGAGTTTTAGTGACTGCAGAGATTGTTTGTAATTTGTTTGCAGTCTACAAGAAACGTTTTGTTAGAATCGACTTCCATGGTCCACCTATCATGCATAAATCGCATTTATATCATGATTATGATGCTTATTTGTCACATCATTCACACGATATTCCAAATGGTCTACGAGATCGAATAATATCGACGAAAGTCATCCCGGATTCTTGAGTTTGTGACTGGAAGAGGCCGGTTCCATCTTCTCCACTAGTATCAGAAAATACTGTCCCACCAGCGTTTCAGTACCCAGAAGGAATGAAAGATGCGGAGATCTATCCGATAGGTGTGGTACGTAATATGCCACTAGATGGTTTTGTCGAACCCATCAACAATGTCACTAATGTCAATCAGTATAGTCCAAGAAAACTCGACGACACTATGATTGTCAATGGAAAGAACAGACGAAGAAAGTTCCTCATTGTGTTCCGAGTGAAGTATGATGATGATTTTTGTCTTCAGTCATTGAGGAGAAGAAAGACACCAGTCATATAAAGCTGCCACCCTATCCACCTACGTTTCTTCTTTTTCCTTTCCCTACAATGTTCACATTTAAATCGTTTTGTTTATATGTGTGTGACTTAGGCTTTTGTGTTGTATTTTGTTTCTAAGACAAGCAAATTATCGATCTCTCTGTTATCAATAACAGTTTCTTTTCTGTGTGTGGTTTTATTTATCTAACTATGGAATAATGTTGGATAATTTCAGGTGAGATACTGGATAGTACGCAATCTGTGTCATTTGTTACCATCGCTAATATCATTACTACTACTACTACTACTGCTACTACTACTACTACTTATGGACCCACCACTACTTGTTAAGTTACTGTTGATGTATATGAGTGAACTGGCGTTTCCCTCTTCGTTATATACTCAACAAAGTGTGAAAATGTGTCTTATAGTCTCCAATCACAATGCAAAGTACTGAAACTGACCAACTTATAATAATAATAATAATGACAGTGGCAGTGGACGTAATGGAAATATAGTTTATGGACAGCACATATTAAATCTGCGTGTTCGTGTGCATTATGAGCAACGTTCAGACCACTTTCTGTATATTCAGTCTCAAATGTTTGCTTTTCTAGACTGCAGTTGTATTACAATTATGCTGTTTTGTATAAAAATTTTTTTTATTTTGTACTAGTAGTTTTGATGTGTTTTTCTCTTTCTAGATATACAGCTAGTTCAATATTCTATAAATGGCTGAAATACGTGTTCTGGGTTGGCACCATATATTGCATAGTGAATTTTTAATTGTGTTAGGTGGTAGATTTTTGTTTGAGAAAGAAAAGGAGAAAAGTTTACGTTGAATAAAGAAATAGAAAATAGAAAAGTAAGAAACAAATTCACTCACTTGACTCTCACTGTATGAACATTAATCAATCCGTAAATTAGTGCACGGTCATAATGGCAACTGAAATCTTGACAGACAATAAAATCCAAGAGATCAACCCACCTATTAACTTTAAGGTGAACATATCCACAACAAAGATATGCAACAGACATCTCTAGTACTTCATCAAACTGTGAGTATACCTCCTTGATAATGCCGCACATGTTAACGTGGACAGCAGTGAAAACGCATTGTCATTGGTCTGCAGTTCTTTAAATGTTTATTCCTTTGCACCACAATATCAACTTCTGATAGTGTAAATCTATATTGCTGTGAACAATAACACTTGAGTAGATATTCACTTGGATTACATGGAAACTCACAGATCCCCCAAATAGTCACTGTGAATTCTTTCGGTCTCCGCAGCTATAAGCATAAGAATTTATGGTAAAATAGACGTTAATCTAGAGTAACCAGGCGTTGCGAAGACGAATCAAGGATGTCGACTGCTTGTAACGGGAATCTGGAATATTTTGCATGAACTTGATGCTACCATTGGTAAAAAAATTAAGTATGACTGAAAACTATCTAAACTTTAACACTCTTTGAATGCTCAAAAATGGTATTTTCTTGTTCGTGTCAATGTGCTAATGCCTGTAAACTGACATATCTCATGTCAGAATTTTATGTGAGAATAAAATGTTTATTCATTTGTTAATTTAATAAACAGAACTATCCACCAAGCAATAAATGAACGGTAATCTGACACATATAGCAATGGAAAATGCATAATTAGAGAAGATCATTTGCATCTACTTTCCAGAACTCCGCACCAATTTCAATAACTACATTCAAAGCCTGAAGATTGCTTTCTAAAGGCAAAGCCAGTACGTCATCAAAACAATCCTCAATAAGTACCATTGAATTCAGTAGAACATAAGTTGTTTCCACATGCTGCAATACCAGCTGATAGCTTTTGTTGCTTCCTTGTACTGGATGGTGAGTGGGCTGAACCCACATCTGCTCTCCTTCTTCATCTGATCTTGTGTCCAGTAGGCTGACTAAGTCTCCTCTTTCTTCACATTGAGATGAAGTCGATGTGATGTTTGGTGTAGTGTGTCCATCTGGTGAATGGTGAAATCAAATGCATGTCGCTGCCTTGTGAATATCCCCGTGTTTGTACACACTACCTCCAATCACCAAATCGTTGAATGTGCATAGGTCTACAAATAGTTCTCCATCTTCGTTCATCATTTCATTGAGTGCTTCTCGACTCATGATCGGTTCTCTTCCTGTGTTGTGGGCTCCCAGTTTCGCATTCATGTCACCCCACCCATTAGAATGGATTTCGATGTCACCAACTGTGTTGGGGTATTTTCCAGTGCTGATTGCAATTATTTGTGGAATTACTCTTTCTCCCCCTTGGTCTGTATTATTTGTAGGTGCATAGCGTAGTTTAGCATTGTATGATTGTGACTTGCCTTCCTTTTGAGTTGAATCCATCTTGCTGTCATGATGCTGATGCGGGAGGAGGAGATTGGTTCCCACTGTATGAGAGAGAGCCTTCGATGCTGTTGGGGGCATCATGATAGCCACTGAGAAACTCAGTGCGCTCGTAGTTGTCATCTGGGTGACAATATCAGAGTAGATTAGTCACTCTGCAGTTGACAGTTTGGAGAGTCCACTTCCATTCCATCAGCAGATTCCTCGCAGATTCCCAGGCTGGCACTTCTTTGCTATATCTTCTCATCTCGCTTGCAATCTGAGCAGCCTTGCCTCCCGCCAGCCAGCCCGCTTCAAATATGGTGCGGATATTCCATATCTCGATCCTCACTTTCGCTTTCATCGAGAGAAGCGAAGACATTGGCCAATTGTCTTCTCGAAGGCTTTCAATAACCGGCATCATTTCGTCTCTCCGGTTCCAGCAAGGAATAAGTGCGTTTTTATGTTTTATATTTTCTTTGTGGTTTGAAGTATCTTTAGCGATTAGAATGGTTTTCCTGGGTGGGGTTGCTAGCCGTATGCCCAACCTTTCCTCTTTATACGAGCATAGGACCGGCTGGTAACTGAAGAACTTGTTAACTAGCTTTCTTTGTCTTGTTCTTGTTTACATGTTGAATATGTTGTTAACCAGTTTTGACGCTAGACGTGCAGTAGGATTTTGGGTTTAGGAACGCTCGTAATGTGCGCATAACTCAGCTTGAATATTTTGTTGACTTCACTAGGGAAAATCATGTGGAAATATCACTCGTTTACTGGAAAACCTAGTTCAACAATTCGCATCCCGAACTTTTAGTTTCCAGACGATGAGATTGTTCTTGAAAAATAAGTACCTGTTAGAATATTAGTGATGTTCATTGACTGAATCTTATTTAAAGTGGTTTGATGATTTGTGTAGTGAGAGAGAGGGCAGGTTTTCGTTGTTTGGATTTTACACGCCAACATTCATTTGACAAGGCACATACAGCTTGTTGCTTTTAAGACGTAGTCACATGCTTTCACACTAAGCAGACAAAGGTGATTCTTGCTCTGATTTTAAGGGTCAGGTCTGGCTGAAATTACCAATTCAGATTTTTCCAACTAAGTTAAAAAATGAAGAATAATAATTTAATATAGGTCAGCATAGAAGATAAATCTGAATGTGTCTGATGCAACAGGACGTGTCTGTTATTCAATGATTCGAGTATCTTGCTTTCCTCCATTCGAATGCAGATATAACTTCTCCACCCAAAATTTTGCCACACAGCATCCAATGCTGATGATCTCTGCACAAACGTCCAGTTGAAAGCTTTGATGCATCAGACGAATGATTTATTTCCGATCTCATCCAATAGTGTTGACCATTTGAAATCAACCGCTTTAAATATCTATTTGGATTAGGTAAATTAAAAATCCAATAATCGACTCACTCTATCAAATGAACATCAGAATCTCGAAAACATGCCTCATACTTACAGTAGGGCTTAGCCATAAAACAAAATTCATTCTAGAATAAGAATAAAACCCAGAATGCCATTAACCTAATTTCCAAATCCAAGCGACTGATGAGAGTTTATTCCATGGACCCTTTACGAAAAGGTCACTTGTAACAGGCACTTATTAATTTTCAAGGCTGTGTGCGCTGGAATATGCAACGTGCTTGGGAACACTGCATACCTTGACGAACAGGAGAAGAACAAAGTTACATCTTCATATCTGTAACAGAACACTCAGTGAACCGAGGAAATTTCTCTTCTTTCAATATCCTTCAAAAGTCTTGCACAAATTGCTACTTTGCACCGCTTGAAAGGAGTGAAGTTGAGGCATCTAGTCAGAGCTGAAGCGCTAACGACTCAAAAGTTCAAACCATCATTATGCGTTCAAAAGAAGCAGGTATAAACTCGTTCCCTGCCATAACCATCCTAGTGTATCGATCACTCTAGATAATTCCAATATGACGTAACCATTTCTATTTTGTAGTCACCTCGTTTACTATCTCATGAAGTAACTTTCTTTTGTCATGCAACTTACAATGATCTCTGGCAAGAAATTACTCTATAATGTTCCCTCCTTTCTGCTCAATATTTACCGACTGTGAAGCTTGGAGAATGACTTCGTCGAGAAGAAGACATTTTCTTCGTTGCAACCATCTTCCGTATTTCCCCATGACCTAATACGTTTGCTTCGATACAACTATTTCTTTCCTACCGTCACAATTTTATGCAGCTAACAAAGGTTCTCACTGAGTAAATGCTGAGTGAAAGAAGCCAGACAAGAGAAGCTTATGTAGAACGTTACTTATAAAGTGCAGTTGGTTGTCAAATATACTCTTCTACTCCTTGAATTATTCCATAATC